TGGATTATTGATTCTGGAGCCTTCGATCACATGACTGGAAGGAGATGATGAGTATTCCCCGTGATGAGTATGAGAGGTTAGTACAGGCCACATCTCAGCAGAACACGGCCACTCTCGCACACTCAGGTATGGCTTGTCTGGCATCCACACCCCATCCTTGGATTATTGATTCTGGAGCCTTCGATCACATGACTGGAACTCCAGGTGTGTTTTCTTCCCTTTGTCATTGCTCAACATCACAATCTGTTACCCTTGCTAATGGCTCCACATCCTCAATTTGTGGTGTTGGTAATGTTGACCTAGACCCTGTATCCCTATCCTCAGTTTTGTATGTCCCTAAATTTCCTTTTAATCTTATGTTTGTTAGTAAGTTGACCAAGTCTCTTAATTGCTCCATTACCTTTTACCCCTCTTCGTGTGTTTTTCAGGGTCTCAAGACGGGGATGAAGATTGGTGGAGGGCATGAAGTTGGTGGATTTTATTATCTTGATGGTGGTGGAAGTACGTCAACAGCTCTCCAATCGTCCCTCTCTCCTCTCCAGTGGCACTGTCGATTTGGTCATCCTTCACTGAAAGTTTTGAAGTCTTTGGTTCCTTCATTGAGTCATCTTTCTATTTTGGATTGTGAGTCATGTCAGTTGGGGAAACATCATCGTGTTCCCTTTAGTCCTAGAGTTGATAATCGTGTATTGAGTCCTTTTTCTTTGGTTCATTTAGATGTTTGGAGTCCTTATAAAGTAATGTCATACAATGGATATAAATATTTTGTCATTTTTGTTGATGATTATTCAAGAATGACATGGCTCTATTTAATGAAAGAAAGAAGTGAATTGTTTCCTATTTTTCAAAAGTTTTATGCTGAGATTCGCAACCAATTTGGTGTTTACATTAAAATTTTTTGTTCTAATAATGGCCATGAATATCTCTCTTCATCATTTCAGGACTACCTAGACCAACATGGCATTATCCATCAGACTTCATGTACCTACACCCCACAACAAAACGGGGTGGCTGAGAGAAAGAATCGTCACCTCTTGGAAACAGCTCGGTCCCTCGTGCATCACATGAATGTTCCCAAATCCTTTTAGAGTGATGCAGTGTTTACTTCCTGCTTCTTGGTTAACCGGATGCCCACGTCTATCCTTGATGGTCATTCCCCATTCACCACATTGTTTCCTACCTTGTCTCCGTTTCCTCTCTCTCCTCGACTTTTTGGCTGTGTTTGTTTTGTTCATAATCTAGGGCCAGGAATGGACAAGTTAGACGCACAGTCTATTAAGTGTATCTTCCTTGGTTATTCCCGGACTCAGAAAGGGTATAAGTGTTATCACCCTAGCCTTCGGCGTTCCTTTGTATGTGCTGATGTTACTTTCTTTGAGTTTACTCCATTCTTCTTGGGGTCCGGTGATGTTTCTTCCTCCTCATCACCTCCTCCCCTTCCTTTTCTAGTTGTGGACTTTGTTCCTCTTGTTCCCGCAGTGACCAAGTCTTTGCCTCTGGTGCCACCACCTGTTGAACGACCACCGATCCATCACGTGTATACACATCGCCCACATGTACCAGCACCTCCTCCAGCTTCATCATCGTCGACAGATCCGGTAGTTGTTACCACACCAGCCCCAACCCCAGTATTTGATCTTGATCTTCCCATTTCCTTGCAGAAAGGTAAGCGTAGATCCTATTTCTAATTATGTTTCACTGACTCACCTTTCCACTTCCCATCGCTAGTTTATCTCTTTGTTATCTTCTGTTGTTATACCTAAGGATGTCCAGGAAGCCCTTGCCTCTCCAGAATGGTGTCATGCGATGGAAGAAGAAATCTCAGCTCTGGCTCATAATCATACATGGGAACTCACCACTCTTCCTTCTAGTAAGCAGACTGTTGGCTGTAAGTAGGTTTATACGGTTAAGTACTTACCTGATGGTAGTGTAGAGCGGCTGAAAGCTAGATTGGTTGCCAAAGGGTATTCCCAAACCTATGGTATTGATTACATAGAGACTTTCTCCCTGGTTGCTAAGATTGGTTCAGTCCGTATTGTGATTTCTCTTGCTGCGATG